CTCAGGGCACTTTCATCACTATAGCAACAGAATACAGAGATAGGGAGAACTGCTGGGGTTTGGACTACAAATACTCTGTAGTCCTAAGAATGGCGGAACACTTTAATACAGAGGGCAGAGCAGAAGGTCATGGCTGAACACTCAGTTGTTACATAGGAGGGATGAGCTGGCAGTTAGAACTACATCCTGTTTTTGGCAGACAGGTGGATTAACCAAACCACTGTTACACATTGGATTAGTGTGGTTAAGAAAATGAAGTTTACAGAAAGTTTTCAAAATAAAACTCTGCAATCTCCACTCACGAAAGTGCACCGCCATAGGCGGTGCAATAATATAAATCTCCTTTATGCTTTTTTTCTCAGGATAGTAAACTGCCTTGCTCAAATAGTGAGTTCATTAACATTAGCATTTCATGGGTGTCTCAAAGATAGAAATCCTTGCCCAGCTTTCTGTCTCACACACACAGCAGTGGGCAGATTATTCATCACTATAGCAACAGAATACACAGAAAGGCAGATCTGCTGGTTTGGACTACAAACCAGCAGCCATAACTGCCATAACTGTAGTTCTATCTATGGCCAAGACTCAGTTAAAACAGAGGCCTGAGCAGCATGTCAGAACTACAACATGGCCGAAATGTCAATTACTATAGAACCCCAGTAATCCTGTTCAGTAGGTGTACCGCCGCAGGCGGTGCAATTACATTAAGTTTAATAATCTTTTTCCCTGGAGTTAGTGCACCGCCAAAGGCGGTGCAATAATATGAGCTTTTATTAGCATTTTCTCCCAAGTTATCATGCATTAACATTAGCATTTCACCTAAAATAAGCTTTTAGCCAATTTATTTACTCATTAGCCACACCATTTTTCTCTCATCACTGCAATTACTGTGAATGAGCTACAGATATGAATCGCGGGACTAAATGAGACGACAAATAGCCCTCTCATTTGCTTCAAACGGTTTTTGGATCGGCCTTACGGATCCTGAACGGGAAGAAGTTGTTCAGACTGCTTTTTCCATTAAAACTGACTGGGTGTCTCATAAAGTCAGATAAAGTCTCTGACACACACTGCAGTCTCATCACTATAGCAACAGAATGCAGAGGAAGGCAGAGCAGCTGGTTTGGACTACAAAGACTCTGTAGTTCTAAACATGGTGGAACACTTTAATGCAGAGGGCTGAGCAGAAGGTCAG